TGTGAGATCTGGGTAATCCTGGGGCATTGACACCTGCTCCTGCCCCAGGAGCCACCTTCTGCACTGGCGGGGAAACCAATGGCAGACAAGGGGACAAGGGGCCCAAGGAGAATGTTGGCAAGCCCATGAACTATGCTGAGCCCTCAGTGCCACACGGCCTGCTGACCCCAACGCCTTTGTGGGCCCTCCATGAGGTAGTGCTGGAGGAAGAAGATGCTTCCTTGCTGGGAACAGCATCCTTGTCCCAGATGGTCTGGGGTGCCTGGGAGCAGGAATAGGCAGGGCTGGGAACCCTTGGTTGGTGGTGGGATTTGGTTAGTGGGAAGGTTCGGGGTGGGGGGTGATGGTACAAAGGGGCTCTCCAGTGAAGTATTTCAGGGGCTCAGATCTGGGACCCAGAGGCCATGCAGAATAGCAGTGAGTGTCCAGGCCTCAGACCCTGTCTCAGTGGCCTTCCAAAGCCTGGATGGTGGCAGGAGGCCCCATGAGAAAGACAAGGACCAACTTTTGTCACACCTTGACTCTCAGGACTCATGGAGCAAGAGATCCACCTAGATGCAGGGTGGGACAAGCTGATGCTGGACATCAAAACAGGAAGGTCCACAGCATCAAGATAGGAGCATCTGAGGCTGTCATTCATAGGAGGAATGATGGCCCCCTGAAGAAGCAGGCCATGGGGACACAGGGGCTGTGATTTGGTGCAGTGGGGCCAGGCAGGGGGGATGGAGGCTGGTGAGGAGTCTACAGGCTGCTCCTTATAGCTGCAGCCACTTGGGACCAGGAAGTTGGGCTGGAAGGAGGGTGGCTCTAAATCCCCAGCCACACACTCAGGGGCTTCACAGGGCCCCCACACAGTCCACTGCTTCATTTGGTGACCTCTGGCCCCTCCCAGCTCCAATGACAAGGACAAAAGAGGCACTGGACCCTGACCAGCCTCGGCATAGAGGAATGAGGACATCAGGGCGACGTGCAGTCCCAGGAAGAGGGCTTCTACCATCTTGTTTTACTTT